AATTTTACCCCCTCCCCCCCCCCCTGTCCGCGCCCCGACTTGTTGAAACAATGTTGCTGCTGTAGATGACACACCTTGGAGCGAAGGATGAGGTGGAAAGACGGGAGTGGAAAGAAGCGATTCAAGGTTCCATTGGAAAGGTACACACCTACCGTATATGACACAAGATAACACACCCCCTGGACCGATTTCCAAAGCTCGATTACTCCACGACGAAGAGGATGCACAAACAAAACGATACATTTTCGAAAATTTCTCGACGAGACGATTCCAACGCTGCCGTTTTCGGCGCCGTGACTCTTCCTGCTGTTGAGAAATCGAGCTTTGAAAATCGGCCAAGGGGGTGTGTTATCTTGTGTCATATACGGTATACCTATATAGTAGTGGCATCGAGACTGCTGTCTTTTTGTGTGCTTTGTGTCTACTTCACAGTCGAGCTTGTTACCTTGTGTAGAGCTGAGAAAGATCTTCCTGCAGTTTAGCCGTAGAGCAGAGAGAGATGTATTCGCTCATGTTTAACAGTCAGTTGCTTTTTGGTCGTGGCCGGTGGCATTCGCTGATGTGGCACAAGCGCACGCCCGTATTGCCGACAAGCTAACCACTCTCTCAAACCCCTCGTGGTCGCATCGATCCGTCCATTTTTTTTTTCATTCTTGCAGATGTAAAACAAAAGTCGTCTCTTGTAACCGTAGATATAAATACAGGATGCATGATAAATTAGCGATAGTTTGTGCATGACGTTACGTGATGATTTACCATACCTGTGCTTCTTCTTTCACACGTTTGTACTTGCCACAAAACCCCTGAACATGCATTCGCCCCCCCTCCGGAATGTTAACAGCTCAAGGGTTCGACACGAGGCTACCTGATGAAGCTCCGGGCGGGCACACCGACGCCCGCGAGCGCTCCGATGCACCAGGCCCCTCTCGGTGCTGCGGTGACTAGCGGTGACTTCAACCACGTTCCCCAGCACCATGTCCCGGTGAGTTGCTTTTGCTGTCGCTGCTGCTGCTGTCGCCGCTGCTGCTGCTGCTGCTGCTGTTGCTGCTGTTGCTGATGATGATGCTGGTGCTGATGCTGCTGCTGCTGCTGCTGCTGTTGCTGCTGCTGTTGCTGCTGCAATTGCTGCTGCTACTGCTGCTGCTGCTGCTGCTGCTGACGGGGGGGCTCGTGCCGGTTAGGACGTGAATGTAAATAGAACCCGATAGTGCTGCCGTTCGGTATTATTTATTTCCCGTTCGGTTTTTTTATTTCGTGTCCGCGTGTAAATGACGATCCCGGCGCGACGGCGTGTTTTGGTTTTTCTCGTTTCAGGGTGCCGTGCACTCCCGCTCTTGCCGTTTGCGTCGTAGTCGTAGACGTGTCGCAGGCAGGTCTTGTACACTTCGAAGGATCCAAACTCGAAGGGCAAGAGAGACGCCCGGTAGTATCGACTTGACGCCGCCGTTGTC